TAGTAAGCGAGGAATGGGGAAGCGGGGTGGCATTTCTGCCCCTTCGTCATTTTATGTTGAAGGTCACAGTGTATCACGAGACGATTGAGATATACATAGGGACGTTTGGCTACTAATCGCGGACAACAGTACTATCTGCTAGTCAACGGACAGGCTAAAGACGAAATCAAGAACCGAATCGCGCAGGCTAGAGATGCATTGAGGCTGCTTGCCAGATCACTCTGGTCTCGCTCAGACATCAACTTACGTACTAAGCTGCTAATATACAGAGCATCAACCAAACCGGTGTTAGTATATGCTTGCGAAATATGGACAGTCAGAAAGGCAGACATACTATCGCTCGAAGTCTATGACCGTTGGTGTCTTCGACGCCTCTTAAGAGTCTTCTGGCAAGATCGAATTTCATTTGTCGAGCTATATTGCAAGTGTTTTAAACTACCAAGTCTGGCATCATACATCCAGCATCGCCGATCGCAATGGTTTGGCCATGTCCAGCGCAAACCATCGACCGCCCTCCGCAGATTGGTCGTGAACCCCTCTCGTAGTGCAAACTGGAGATACCGACAAGGCGGTCAACCGAAGACATGGCTCAGCACCATCAAGTCGGACGTCGAACGGATGGGTCTCGTAACCGTTCACGGCTTGCGACCCTGGATTGACATCTGCGAGGGGTTTGCTTCCGATCGCTGCCAATGGGCCACTATTATACGTGAAGCCAATTCAGCCAACAACAGGAGCTAATCGGATCAGGTACAAGTATAAGTAGGATCACAAGGTCACCCGGGCATCAAAGCAGGCGCTCTTAAAGTAGACTCGGATGCAAGCTCCACCGTGGCTATACGCAGCTCAAACCATGGGGGATGGGGGGCTGCCAATTAGGGAAGTACGTCTGTAAGATAGCAAGCTTGTCGCGGCTGCTATACACGGCCAGGTGGCAGGAAGGACTCAAAATTATTCTGGAATTTAAATATTATTCTGAAAACCAGAAGCTACGTTTTCTTCAGGTATTAAATTCAAAGGCATAATTTACTACCCAAATGCGCACATAGGGGGATACTTCCGTTCAATTTTTTTCTATAAAATATACATTTAAAAGAGCATAGAAGATTATCAAGGAAAGTGAATGCTACTTAAATAGTGCTTAGTGTGA